ATGTGCAAAATCCGTTTGCCAACCTCCCTATGGTGCACATCAGATAATGTCAAACATACATGAGAAAAATACAAGGGTTATTTCAAAATGCTGTAACTTTGTGAAAAAAAATCGTAGCGACTTATTTTTTTTCAAATTAAAGAGAAAGATTCCAACTTTATGACGCTGGAAACTGCATCCCCAGGAAAAATTTTAGCAAGTCCGTGCACTCGTTCAAACTTTGCAATTTTCAGTGTGGCAAACATGCTCTCAGATTTAAGAGTTTACAGCAACAGGGGTGCATTAAATTTAAAATCGACTCACAGTATCTTAAAGTAGAGATTTCAAGCTTTCATTTGAAAAAAAGTTCATCATTTTACGATGATTTTTCGCGGAGTTACCATTAACCAAAGTTGATCAATTTTTGCTCAAAATTTTTCTATGCCATAATTTTTTTGAGCAGTGTATATATTTTTTTTTTAATATAAAATTATGATAGTTGTTCCTTATCGTAGTTTAGAATTTCTCAAGTAAAATTTGGGCACCGCTCTTAAATCTATATATGCCTTGCAGAATTCAACTAATCAAAATGAAACGGATTAAGATTAAAGTTATATAATTGGATGAATTCTAATCTTTAATTTGTAATTTTCCAATCTCAATTCTGCATAGGCTAATATAAGGAACCTTAAACAATTTTTAATTAATCTGACGTATTTTACAGATTTATACTACAAAGAAATATAATTATGCCTTATTAATTATATCATTATTTTACAGATTTATTTATAGCAATATAATATTTATAAATTAAATTCATTTTTGTATTAATAAATTGCACAGATACTAAACCATGTAATGTTATACAAGATTTGTTGAAATTGACGCCGCACGTGTGTATTGGTGTACACGTGCGTCTATTATTATTTTCTTTTTTCTTAATAAAAATATAAAAGGAAATACAATTAATACACGTGAACATCGATACACGGCAATTCGAGTATCCAGAATTAATTACAAATTCTTGGATAGCGAAATAAATTGATCCCTTAGGAAAATTTAATATTGTAGGTGTTAACTTAATTAATAATAATTAATTACTTATTTTGAATATTAAATAAAAGCACTTATAACTATTAGCAACTAAACATCTGTAGTTAGTAACTAAATAAACGTCTTTGAAACGCGCACCATAATTAGTCTGAAAAATGACAAACAAAATGTATATACACACCTACGTTAATTAAGTCCTTATTGGAGATTAGAAGTAATTCATAGCCGTATTCATAGTCGATTTTTATATTTAAGATCATCTTAAGTACTTTAAGACTGCCTTAAGATGTCATAAGCCAATCACAGAGTCATATTATCATCTAGACATATAACCACTTAAGACTTGAAATAAGAATCGAATTTATGAATACGGATCTATGCATTAATAGTAGATTGAGAATTAAGAATTAAAAATTTGAATTTGATCAATCAGGTAAGTTTAATTTTAATCCGTTTCATTATGATTGGTTAAATTTCCAATTCACAATGCGCAATGTCCAATGCGATAGTCTGATACAAACTTAAGGTGGTTCTTTAGTAAAGTGCCGAAAATTTTGGGTGCCTCACTAGGGTCTACTCAAAATCATAAATATTTGCATAATTTGGATGAAATAATAAAACTACGTGTATATCTAATGAAATAATATGAAACAAACGATATTTAGTATGCAAAAATGATGAATGAAATCACTAAAAAGAAATTAAACGGACAAGTGTGTGAGAACATTATGTAATATTTTCCATATCTTTCCAGAATGGTCGATGATCTTACATTTTCGTAACCATTAAAATCGTAATTATTTACACTATAATTATAATCTCGTTTGTCAGAAAATTTTGTCGTCTCGTTTGTGTTAGTCAAAGAAGCATCTCCGATCCCAATCTGTCATTAACGTATTAATGTGAAAAGTTATATTTTAAACTTTTTTTTTCTCTCTTATTTCATCGATGACACCCTAGAATTTTGCACACGTCAAGTTCGGTATTTCAACTTCATTATATAAAAAAATTAGACATTAATTCTGTCTTAACTCGATTTATTAAAGAACCACCTAGCGCGTGCTATTGCAGTTTTACTGCGCATGTCCCTAATATCTCCCAACACCGCTCCGAAACTCCGAACAGTTGTTCGGTATAAGTGCGAATGCGAACGAAGTAGTACTTTTTGCAGTTCATCGTTCTTCCGTCATCGCAGACATCGCAGTATGTTTGCGTTGCGCGCAGTTGCTCGCAGTCGCTTGATCTGACCTGATGACGACTCATGGACTCTCGAAGGCGTGCGGTGCGGTGTAAATTGCGCGTGCGAGCCGTTGGTTAAACCGTTTCGCGCAATCGTTGCGCAATCCTTGCGGTGAGCTCGTGTCAGCAGCCTAGCTTCATCTCGACCGTGTCTGAATTATGTTCATCGTCCGATTCACCGCAATTGAACAAGTGAATTTGCATAACGAGTCGATTCCGCGCTCAATACTCGACTGCGAAGGCCACGTTAATTATCGCGACGATATCATCGACGGCGTGAGTTCCAATTCGATCGCGCGCATCGCGCATTCTGATCTAGCTTTTATCTCATTCTTCTCGATATATCACACCCTTGATATTTGTTTTCAAAAGCATCGATGTTTACACAGTTTTCGTATTTTTACGATAATAATAAATAAAACTAGCTGTAATTTTAATTCTCTGAAAAAAGATTCAGCAATTTTTATATGTACATATATATATTTTTTAATTATTTATTAGCTGAAATCAACGGCTAGATAAATGCCTGTCAGAAGTCTTATAATTTTTTTTATATCTATCTGGAATCGTATTATCTCGTTATTATATCTCATTCCGATATGTACCTTATAATTTTTATAATATATAATTTTGACCTTTAATGCATTAATAAAAAGTCTTTATCTATTCTGTCTTTTATTCTCTGTCAAATAAAAGGTGTTGTGTAGCGATTAATAATGCACCAACATATTTCTATAAATAAACAAAAAAACTCATAACGAAACGAAAGACACAAATTTCAATGGAAATCATACACTGAATCAGCTGCCGTATGCTTTAATATATCTTTCAACAGCGTAGAACAATTTAAAATTGTTATTATTCATGCTTGTTATTTACGAAAGTTTTACAAGAGACAGAAAAATTCATATTAAAAAAAAAGAAACAATCAAGCAGGTATATGTATATAAGATAGGCGTTATCCTCTATCTCTTACGCTCTTCTTTTGCTGCGATCCACGACATTCGAGGCTCATCGCGCTATCATAATTACTCTGATAATTGTGCCTTGTGGAAGGAACGAGTGCGAGTTGCTGCGCCGTTTAAGACCGTTGAAGTCATATATTTTTCACCCGTTGCGTTTTCTGGAAACGTAAAAGTTGAATCCAAGTTTTCATTGGTACGAAAAGCGCAATGTTTTTTTTAAATATTTATTGCCCATTTCATTTATTCTAATAATTTTAGATAACATTTTCTTGGTTTGTATAATTTATTTTTTTTATGGAAAACACCCTGGTATTAAGTTTGAATCAAAGTATTTATTATTGAAAAGAAGAAAACACGACATGCAAAGTTTTATAATTACATTTGAAATGAATAATCTTCGGAATAATTTGTGTATGTCGACAATAGAGGCACTTGAATATATATGTGTACTTGAGATGTGCTTTTCCAAAGTCCAATTATAAACTGGTTTTGCATAACAGGAATTAAATGTACAAATCAAAAACTTCGTTGTTTTTTTTTACTTTTCGGATTTAAGGCTGTATCATTCGCATAATCATTGCAAAAACTAAAAAGTAAATTAAAATTGAAAATGTTAAATATTTATTATATTTCAAATAATCTATTATATCCATATGGAATTGTGTGAATTACATTATTTTTATTTAACAACACATTTTTATAATTTATTTACTTTATTATTTTTTATTGTTATAATACTGCGATTTAAAAAACGAGATAAATAAATAAATAAATAAGTTTTATTTATTTACTGCGTATCTAAGCCTTGTATTACAATGAAACTTTACACAAATTATCTCGAATACTTGAAGTACTTAAATTTAAAAAAATTGAGATTTTTTATTATTATTTATTAATTACATTAATGTAATGGAAATTTCCATTTAGGCACAGATAAAATACTTCTACTTCTTATTGAAAGAATTTTTGATTCAAGTTTTAAATCGTTGCTTTTTATATTACTTTTAAATGCGATCTAGAATAATTTGTGCAATCTATATATAGAACAATTTTTTCATTATTTTGAAAATGTGTACAATATACAGATCCTTATTGCTATATGTAATATATCAAATTTTCGGGAATATATCAATGATTCTTTTATTTAAAAGAGAAGAAAAGAGAGAGAAAGAAGATAAAGATCGTCGAGCTTCATCGAAAACGTGAAGTCATGTGTTGCATGATTGAATATCTTTGAAAGATTGTCGCAGTCGTGTGCAGGAAATGTGGATACATTGTTGCGCATATTTCGCGGAAATGATTAATAACGATGCTAATAGCTGCGAGAGACTCGATCCTCGCGCGAATAATTTTATGTAATCAAGCATAAGAAGTTTTGTAAAGAAAGAAGAGAGAAACATGCGATCTGTCGCTATAGCAGTCTCATCGAGCGAAAATATCGTTGAAGTAATAAGAAATTGAAATCGTTCTTTTTAACATTGATCGAGGGGGGGGGGGAACAGCGATGTGATGAATAGTGATTTTCCTTTATGAGGGCAACTGTAGATCGTTACGTACCGATTACGGCGCTTTATGTATCGCATTTTTGCTTCAAAAGTAACGTAATTCAGAAAAATTAAATTTTTAAATAATTGATAGGATAGTGTTTATCTAATTCATTCGTCATAATAACTTGAAAATTGCGTTTTTTATTAGTGTCACTTTTGAAACAAGAGTACGATATATTCTCTAAAGCATTGCTGTACGCACGACCACTATGCATATATATTCTCGCTTTGATTTCTGATGTATGCAAGAGACAGCGACCTAACGCGACCATTAACACACGTACTTAAGGAAGTTCTGCTTCGTTTAGAAGAACTTCTTCGTTTCTGGATATTTAATATCGGAATTATACATGTATTCATAATACTACGTACAGGGTGTTGCATATACATATTAGACAGTATAAAAAGTTGCGCGGCAGACTTGCAAGAGCAGGCGCAGCTTAGTAAGTAATGATTATTTAAATTTAGTATTTATTTTAGTTTTTAGTACTTTTTTTAATTTTTAGTATTATTGAGCCGCGTCTGCCCCTGCAAAAGGGCAAAGTTTAACCGCGTAACCCGTTATACTGCCAAATATGTATATGCAACACCCTGTACATACAATGCTACAATTTTATCTGAAGATATACCAAAATTCGGTTATCATTAAGTCGAAGCATCCCTGTTGCAGACTGTCGTCCAATCTGGCTCAGGAATCTTCTCCCTACCAGAGTGTCTCGTCGATTAGCATAGCGTGCACAGAGTGGACATCCGGGAAGTGTGACCCCGAAGACCTAGTGATCGAATCCGACGACCAGGTTTTTTTTACAGCCTTGGTCTTTTTCATCAGCTGCGCGAACGAGGAATCGATATGGATCGTGTCTGTATAGACAGGGAGACTGGCGAGCATCTGATTCATTCGCTCTACGATTGTGATATTTGTCATTCAACTGATTCAACGACAGTAAACGATGCGGAGACCGGGGAGCCAGAAGTCAGCGTGGATCATGCAACGACCAGATGTCATCTCAGGAGAGTGCCGTTTCAGGTATTTGAAAAATATTAATGTCTGTTCTCTTCTAAAGAGCTCATTTTTTTGTAAATATTTCGACTTGAATTATTTTGATTTGTATTTTTACTCTATTCTATATGCGTACGGTGTTTTCAAAAAGTGGTGAAGTGGTATATAAACTGAAAAGATCTTGTAAAATTGAATAACTTTTATAGTAATGAGACGACGTCTTCTTAATATGCTAAGCATCGAGAGATTCCCCGATAGGAAAACATTTATAAAATTATGACGAAATATTGCATAAAATTTATGATCTGAAACTATCCATATAAATGAATATATTTAAATAAATAAATACAGAAATATTGAAAATATTGAATTATAATATTGAAAAGGTCAATATTATAATTGTTTACGCGATTAATTTCGAGAGAAAATCACTATTTCAGTAAAACAATAATAATATAGAATTATCTTACAATTAATAATACATTTGCAAAATTAAATTTTTGAAAGAAATTACTCAGTAATAGAGAAAAATATTTTAGCTGTATTATATTAAATATTAAAATATTCAAAAATATAATTGTACATGAAGGAATCACAATTATCCACATATATATACTCATAAAAATGCACAATTATTGCTAAATTATATAAGAATATTGCAACACGAAATATTACACGTTCATTATTTATATCTAATTTTTGATATCATTTAAAAATTTATTCCTCGGTCAGTATGCGATTTATTACTTGCCGCAAAAGACTGAAAATGGACAAGTTTCTTTATAAAAATTAAAAAAATACATCTTAAACTTCTTCAGATTTTATAAGTGTTGGAAATTATATAATGAAAAATATCTTATCGTTAAGAATATTTCAGAATATACATATATAAAGAATTCTAAAAAAAATGTAGGCAGCTTCCTTAATATTTAAGCAAAAAATTTAATTTCGTATATAAAATCTAAAAAATTATAAAATTATATATAGATATTATAAATTGTGAAAAAATTTCAAGTTTTTTATATAGAAATTCTGAAAAAATATGTGAAGAATTCTAAGAAAAATTTCATTAGAGTATTGCAATAAAAAAAATTAAACAAAATTTAGATACAATTTTTTTTCAATCTAATTATCTAAGAGAAGTCTCTCTTATAGAATTTTATAGATTATAAAATAATTATAAGCAGCATTCAACAAGATTACAAGTTGATGCCTAATGTCTTAAGAAGACGTCATTAAACATATTAATTAATAAAAAATTTAATTAAACATATTAATTAATAAAAGATGGCCAGTTTAACCAGATTTTTTAAGCTTGATGCTATTTTTCAAAAACATTCTCTCTCTTTTTCTCTGTGTATTACTATAAAATTAATTTACCTAAATGTGCAAGACAAAATATATGATACACATATCGAATCGTACAATTATACTATGAATTTGCGCACAATAAATAAAATAAATAAATTATTTGCAGATACCGAAAGAAGTTAAGGAAAAGACGACGAAAAAACGCTATATGGAATTAGAACCAGTTCCAGCGGGCGCTTCTTTTGGTCAGATAAATCCCGTGTGCTTGTTTTTACCGGCAATCATCTACTTCCGTTGGTTTCTCGCTCTGTTGATGCTCTTTGAGGTATTATAGATTATTGTTGAAATTTTGAAAATTCTTCCGTAAGAACGACAAACCAATTTAACGCTTTACATTGTTTTTGCATTAAGGTTGTTCTGCACGTATGGGCGCACCACAAGAATAAGACTTTGAAAAACGCCAATGTGTACTTCCGTTCACCATTTCACGATATCTCTGCCGAATTCTGCGCTCTTTGCCAGAACGAAACATGCATGAATCGCGTCGGTAAAATGCATCAGATTCGAATGCACAAGTTTTTGCGGCAATGCAATTACATGAAGAGAGTCGTGACGTGATTCGAGTCATTCGAGAGATGCAAACGTATCTAGCAATATCAAGTATCATGGAATTTTTAAATGATGACAATAATTATAATTGGTTATTTACTTATTTTAAACTTTTAAAAAGTTCAAAATAATCAAGTTTTACATAAAATAGCTATTATATACAACAGTTACATATAACTTGTTTTATGTATATATATATATATTATATTATAAATAATGTTACATATATTATGGTTATGTTTTTATTCTTCTTTATGGTGATATTTGTCAACGAATAATTAAAATATTTTCGTGTTTAAGTTTTATATCTTTCATATAATGCATAAAATTTAAAAGATATATATATATTTCTAAGAATTCTAAAAGAAACCCATACGAAGTTTCTATTAGGAGTCGCGAACATTGTAACATACTAAATATGAGAAGTATTTTATATTAGCCTTTTTTGTATTAAAATCTTGTAAAAAGTTACATTAAAATTCTTTTAATCAAGATTCACAAGTACAAAATAAATGGCTTTTGCTTCCTTTTTGCAACCACATCAATTACGATATCAAGAGAGAAATTATATTAATTCTTGCCTTGCACTAGATATTGAAAAAAATTTGTTTACAATAAATTAGTATATCTTTACTCACACACATTTAATAGTATTCAATATAATATACCAAAGGTGTCTTTATGCATGTTATTTAGAATTAAAAAACGCATATGTTCTACATTTCCAATAAAACAAAACAAATTTATTCCAAAATTATTTAAATTTAAACAAAATTATTTGTGTATAATACAGAAAAAAATTTAAATGATTTTCTATTTCTCATTTAAGAATGTTATATAATTGCAGAAAGAAAACAGAGGCCTTTATTTTAAATGTATTTTATTGCATAAAAGCGTAACAGTAAGTTTACCCTTTTTCATTAAAATTCACTATATTTAAATGTAAAATAAGTTATCACATTTCCTTTTAAATGCTTTAAATGTAAAATAAGTTATCACATTTCCTTTTAAATGCTTTAAATTAACATTACACAGTACAAACACACTCCTCTCTCTCTCTCTCTCTC